GTGAGTGCATTTAGGGGCACATATTTAAACTAGATGGAGAGTAAGGCAACAAAGTAATGTTATTAGAAGCAGCTGTTAATCCCAGCAAGCTTAATTTAGTCAAGCAAAGCAATCATAATACCCTTGCCCTGTTCAAAGTACAGAATATTTGTTCTAGGTAGAGAATGAAGAAAATCCAACACAAGCTTGACCTGGTTGATTAGCCATTCCCTCTCTCCAACATTTCCCTCTGTTATTGTATGTGTGTGCATTTGTCAGTGATCTCTAATAATGTTCTTAAAAATGTCATAGGCCTGCTGAGTGTTGATATCAAAATTTGTGCAACAGGGTCTGAGCATGGGTTGAGCCTAAGACAGCTCAGTATGCAGGGATGCCCTAGAAAGTGGATGAGAAAAGTGACACAGTGGTATATTTTGAAGTGCAGTCCTTCTGCACTTTTATCACCAAGTTGTCAAGGAGAGTCCAAGGATGCAGGTAGCTATATCCATCCACACCAGTGGGTCAGCAGGTTCGAAATGCTGTGACCAGGGTACTGACTAGGGCAAATTACAGGGAACATATAACTCCCTTGTTAAAACAGCTTCATTGGTTACCAGTTTATTTCCAGGCACAATTCAAAGTGCTAGTTATAAGCTATAAAGTTCTATATGGCTTAGTTGAAGACTATCTGAAGGATTTGATCTTTATATATCAACCTAACAGAAAATCTTAAGATCCCTGAGGAAGGGGTTTCTCTTGGTCCCACTACCATCACAGACTCATCTGGAGAGGATACAAGGGGCAGCGTTTTTGATGGCTGCTCCCTTATTTTTAGCTTTACCTTCTTTTAGCCTGGTGTAAGTCTCCTTGGGTTCTATGTCAAGAGAAAGGTGGGAAAGAAATAAAAAAAATATTAAAAATAATAAAGAAAATTTTAAGAAAAGGGTATTGTGCAACATAGGTACCAAAGAAGCCTGATGCCAGCTGCCATTCTGTAAAGATCACAGCAGGAAATCCAACTGCTTGTATCTGCAAAGAAAGTACCATATGTCTTAGCACTGTTATTGCTCCTGCTGACTTTTGCTCAAGCACAAGGCAAGTATGTCAAAGTAAATCTCAGAGATTTTAGAAATTTCCCAATGAAATCTGGCAGATTAATGTGAGTCTTTTTATGATCTTGCAAAGTGTTTGGTTTCCATTACGGTTTGTGACACCTATTTGGATGTTGCCAGTGCTTGGTTCTTATTTAGTTTGTTTGACAGAGGGATGGGGTATATATAGTCATTTATTTATTCATGTGTATGCTGCCTTTCTAGGACCAAGTCCTGACAAGATGGCCCACATAATAAAATATTTAAAAATGTATATACCATAGTTTTAAAATCCAACCTGATGTTTTAAACAATTACCTTGTGTGTTTTAAAATATTTGAAATCTATTCCTATTTTTATTTAGGGGATGTGAACACTTTTTAAGGATTAGTAAATGGGTAGTGGGTCTCATTGGAGTTTTGATTTACACTTCTAAAAACATTTTTATCGGGAGATAAACTTGTGTATCTCTTTCTTCATTGTGCTTATTTGCTCCCTCAGTTTGTTGTCAGCTACCAACTATACGGCGTGCCTACAACATGTCAGGAAAAAGTTAGAAATGCCTCATCCCCTGCAATGATGGAAGTTTTAAAGATATGAGACTGTTGTCTCTGGCTTTAAATTTGGAAAGCCCATCTGACACACTAGCTAAATGGGGTGGGTTTTTTTTTAAAGTGGGAAAAATATAATTGGTGAAAATATGTATCAACTAAACTGGAATAAAACTTTTCAGTGGTTTTATGGGCACATGATTTTGGTCCAACCCTGGCAGTGGTTTTGATAATATTCCAAACTTTGGAAAAGTTATATTTTGGGACCACATGTCTCAGGCTCCCCCAACAATCATGGCCATAGTCTCTGTTAGTTGTGGGATTCTGGCAGTTGTAAAAGAAAAGAAAAGAAAGGCTTCCGAACTCTGATTTCAACCTTTAGGAATGTACAAATCCCCACATGGGATACATAAGGGGTAGAAACCATCAACATCCTCTCACCCATGTCAGTCAACTCATCCCTACCAATAAATCCATTTTCTTCCTCTGCTTTCTTGTTTGAATCAGAAAGCTACATAACCTTTAGGAACTGTACCAGGCACATATTGTGTGGTGCCAGAGTACAGAGCAAGGCATGGACAGTAATTTTGTATGCATGCAGCAACACACTTTGCACTCCCCAGGTGGCATTTTTTAAATCATGTGAGACAGGGAGATTGGTGCTGACAGCTCTTCTCAGCCAAGTCATTATGACCATCTGCTCTCAGCTTCACTAAGCCAAAAGCTTCTATAAAGAGATGGCATGCCACAGGATGTGGGGACTCTGGCAGTAATAGGATCCCTGGAACCTTACAGAGGAGCTGACTTTGTCTTTTCTAGCTATGGAAGTCTTCTCTAAGAACATATGTAAACTGCACTGTTATAGCAGTTTGGTACCATTTTTAACTGCCATGGCTCTGTCCTACAGAAATGTAGAATTTGGAGTTTGGTGAAGGATTTAGAACTCTCTACTGGATAGATATAGTGCTCTCCCTTGAACTACAGTGTTGCCACACTGCCAGTCCCAGGATTCCATAAGCTTAGAGCCATGGCAATTAAAATGGTCTCAAACTGCTATAACTGGGTCTTGTAGATACACTCTGAGTTTCTAGGCAAGAACTTTGAACAGAAAAGTATTAAGCTTGCTCCTTACTCAGCACAGAAACAGAGGATGGGTTCGGATGCTTCCACTTTCAATGTGGAGGTCACCAATATTCGTTCTGTATCTTTATGGCAGTTGTAAATGAAATCACCTTGGCTTTATGGCAGTTGCAGGAGTGACCTGCTACATTAATTTCAAGCAAATTTATATTTTAAGGTTACATATTTCAAAAAGGAATGGAATTCTGTTTTGGGAAGGACTTCAAGAGGCAATGGAAATATTAACACCATATCAAATATTATGCACAGCTGGATTAACCATTTGGCTAATTATGCTGCAGAATCAGGACAAACTCAGACTGTGAGAATGGGTCTGTCATTGAGCCTGTTTTCCACACTATGCTCCTTAATTCCCTCCAAGCATACAGAGAAATACATTTGCTAATATTGCACTAGCTAACATTACCTGAGCTTGCCAAAGTTACCTTTTGGGAAAACATTGGCCAGAATCCTGCAGCCAGCATGGATGCTGACCATGCAGGCTGAGGGATTCTGGGAACTGATGTCTCCAAAATAACTTGGCCCATGTTAATGTTCCTCTACATCATATGGAAGACATAAGAGGTATTTGCACCCATAGTGAAATTTTAATATTGAACCTGCTAATCATAAAATAGAAAGTAGTCATTCTCTTTTCAGATTCTAAATAGCAGGGCATAGCAAGAGAATTTAGCTTGCTGTATTATTCACATGACTGCCTCTGTGTGTGGACAGGCAGAGAAAATAATGTAGCATATAGTCTTATCACTATTTTTTGTTTTATTTTGCTAGAGTGGATAATTGATGTTCACCTTTTATTTTGATTTTTGTGCTACTTGTTTTGATACACCTCCTTGTGCATCAAAGATGAGATTAAATATGAGCTAGTTAATTTAAAAGCTACAAGTCTCAAAGATGTTGGAGCTCCTAAATATAGTTCCCATTTCTTCATAGTGCTGATATTTGGAAACTGGTTATTGATGACTAAATATCATCATTTAAACAGACAGGAAGTGTGTTGAGGTGGATGGGCCTCTATCTTGTAGGATCCCTGCAGTGATGGAGTGCAGTGTGTTGTTATCCTCAGTGTACCAAGATGTTATGAAAAATCAAGCGTTTTCCATGCTCTCTCTGTGTGTATGTTTTCTGGTATGACCCTAAAATGGAAATACAGTTTCTGCCAGGCACCCAGAGATGATTTGGTCATGTAGACCCCAGCACTCATTTACAGATCAAACAATCAATTTCAGGAGTTGCAAACATAAATATTCACACAAGGAAGCTACAGGTTTTATGGCCTGGATGTTCTGTGGCCAAGAGCCAGATAAGACCCATTACTCCTTTTTGAGATCTATCTACTTCAAGGAGATCTTTACTATGCTAATTCGGCCCCTTTGAAGTTAGGATAAACAACTTTTGCCTGAAGCCATTTTTGGGCTATATTAAGACCTCTAAATCTCTTTGTTCTGAGAACTGGCATAGAAAGGAGGGGTATCTCATGTCTCCCTGAAATTCCTTGCTGGTCTCCCTCATGCTGCCTCCATCTCAACTTCACTCTATGAGCAGCTGAGTATATCTACATCAAGAAAAGGAGCACTATGGTGTTGGGTAATTATTTTTGATTGGGAAGCCTGTCTTATGAATTTCATGAACCCCTGTCTGTATGTGTGTGTGTGTGCGTGCACTGTTGATTTATTTCCTCCCTTAATAAAAGCACAATTCATTGGAAGAATTTTGCCTATGCAAAGGTTCTCTATTTCCCCCCCTCCATATAAATTGGGTTGCTTTCCTGCTAACTATTTGAGCTAATTAAAATTCCCCAAAGTTGAATTCATTTGAAATAAAGACACACTGTGCTCTGTGGTGTCCCCACCCTTGGTGTCACCCACTGTGGGATGGGGTTGGGCTGCTGGGGAATGGCAGCAGCCAAATAGGCATACTTTATTGTGTCATGGAAGCCTCCTTGTGAGGAAGCCTCCACCACTACAGCAAAGCTAGTTGGGCACAGTGGAAGGAGGGCCTGACTGGGTGTCACCCCTCTTCACCCAGTGTGGGCTGCATGCCTGCACCTCCTATTGACACCACCCCATTGCATCCTTTTCTTTGCTGTGTGCCTTCAAGTCATTTCTAACTTATGGCAACCCTAACATGAGCCTATTATGGTGTTTTCTTGGCAAGATTTGTTCAGAGGAAGTTTGCCATTGCCTTCCCCTGATGCTGAGAGCATGTGACTTGCCCAAAGTCACCCAGTGGGTTTCATGGACAAGGTGGGAGTCAAACCCTGGTTTCCAGAGTCACAGTCCAACACTCAAACCACTAAGCCACACTGGCTCTCCCACATTTAAATTCTCTATTCACATGATGCACAGAAACTTCTGAAGTAATCACTAACCATTCCTGCAATCTCCTGCAATTGCCAAAACTTTTTTCTTCATTGAAATAAAACTAACAATTTAAATTTGTGCTGATCCTTCTGTCTTGTGATTCCTCACTCCTTTTGTTCCTAATCCCCATATTGGTGAGCTTTTGGCTCATTAGTAAAGTCCTCACTATTCTCATTCCTCTGGTCACATTTTCTAGCTGACTTTATTGGCTATGGGAGATGTGTGTATGCAGTGTGTACAGCCCCTCCATGACAGGTGAGCTGTTGAACCAGATGAGCTATTGATCTAGACCTTTGTTATTGTTCTGGATAAAGAGCAAGCTTAATTCTTTTCTGTTCAAAGCAGCAGCAGTACCTCCTAGATCCTCTCAATGTAACCCCCTCATTTGCTACTTCAGTCCATCTCCACCCAATCTCCTCCTTCCCACATGAACATTCCCTAAAATGATGTATCTCTGCATCTTCTGAATAGGTGAGTTAAGCAACAGTGAATATGAATGCTTGGCCAATGGAAACCACTTCTCTCAGATTCTCCAGGGAGGACAGGGAAGTATGTGTGAACTACAAGTGTGTATGTGTTTTGTGTGTGCATATGCATGTGCAACTGGCATGCACACATACATTTCCTCCTTTTCCTACATGGGAAACAGAGTGATGTGTAAGATAAAGCAAACTCACTTTTCTCTCCCCTTAACTAGGGGAAAGTGCCTATGTGTTCTCAAGAAATCAAAGTACCAGTGGGTTTTAAAAGAAGTATACAAAACATTTTGTTATTCTAAATAAGAAGTTAGCATACATTTTTGACATCATGATAATTTAGGGGACAGGGATGTTAATAGCAGAACATCCACAGGGTGACCAGACAGGATTATTCATGGCCCCTAATCTGTCCTACTCCGAGAGAACCGATACATCTGAAAGAGCATGTGAAAGATTCGAGGCCATAAGATTTGGGAACAAAGGGGACTCTGTAAAGTAATGTGAATAATTACTTGGAACATGAAACAGCATGAATTAAAAAATAGGTGACAACTATTTGACTGAATATGAAACACGATGAATTTAAAAAAAATAAAAGACAACTTGCAATAATGGGAAGTGTATATCTGTGTATTAATTTTCTTCCTGTCTATGAAGATGCTAACTACTGGGATGTGTGTAACAATGGCTCTGCCATAACAGAAAGTGCTCCTAATCATTTAATTCAGACAACCCAATTGTCCCCAATAACTCTTTGAAGATGCTTCTCAATGTTGGAGGATACTCTGAAACAAAAAGGGTCATAGCATAAGGGGCATCAGAAGGTAAGGGGGAGTCAGTGAAAATTGTGTGTGCAAGCAGAACAGTTATTGCCAAAGTAAATCACAATGAGATGCAATCCATTGTTGGGAATAGTGTGTGCAGATAGGTTTTGTTCCCATACACCTGTTCTTAGCAACCCCAACATTAGCCTATAATCTCTGCATGCAGGATTAGTACTCAGAATAAATATTGCCCAGAAAAATGCTAGCCTGGCATTGGAGTGCCAGTGACTTCCAGAAGTTGTAACTTTTCCAAGTTCTGCTAATATTTCTCCCTTTCATGCAAAAGAAAGAGTAGGTAATTCCCCACCAATAAATTCAGTGCTGCTCAGTTCAGATTGCCACAAGGCAGTTCAAGCATGATGATGAATATTTGAACCTGGCATAGCTTTGTATTTAATCCAGGACTTTCCTGGCAACTACCAAAATCCATAGAACCTCCTGTTTCCACAGTTCTTTGTTAAACCTTGTGAATTTTACAAGGGATCTTCAGAGAGCCTGCTCCTATTTACCTTTTTTTTTTAAGTTCAAGAATTAAAGCAGAAGTTCCTAAGCCCTTTCCTGTTTTTCCACATTTTTCTTTCCTCAGCAATCTTATCACTAGTACCCCAGGCAGACTGTTCCTTTTTTCTAGTCCTTTAAAAAAGTGTAATGAATTAGGGCAACCTCCCTTTTTAGCTTCTAGGAAGCTAAAACTCCTTGCAGCCAAAAAGTTTGGAATCTTGAAATTCAGCACTGTAACTTAGAGCAGGGGTAGGCAAACTGTCCCCTTTAAGGGCCGAGGGACTTCAGCTCCCAGAAGCCTCACCCTTTAAGGGCTGAGGGACTTCAGCTCCCAGAAGCCTCAGCCATGTTGGCCAATAGTCTGGGATTCTGGGAGCTGAAGTCCCTCGGCCCTTAAAGGGGACAGTTTGCCTACCCCTGACTTAGACGCTTATTGCCTTACCTTTTAAGTCAATATCAGCCTACTGGGATGCAGCCAGGATGCGTAATGGAGGTGGGAATTATCACACTGTAACTCGTCGCTGAATCTGCCGGGTGATTGCAGCCTGGGTCCTAGCTACACTGAACTGGTTCTTTTTCGAAAACGGAAAGCTCCTGAGTTTTAATGGTGGCTGGCTGAGTGCAGCTGGGAGCCGGGCTGCAGTCACCCGGGGATTCAGCAACAAATTACAGTGTGATAATTCCCACCTCCATGCCGCATCCCAGCTTCATCCCAGTAGGGTGATGTTGACTTAAAAGGTAATATGATAAGTCTCTTAGACAAAAACTAAAAACACTCTGGAATATGCAGAACAATGTCTCAATGGGGTTATGTTTGCAACAGAAGCACAGACTATCTTCCATTGATTGGCTAGTAACTCTCTTGCTATTAGTAAAGTGGCATGCATAGGTTGCACTGGTCATGCTAGATACCAATACAGGTGAAGGGAATGGACAGGAAGGCACTGAGGAGACCCCCCCCCCACAAATATGCAGAAATATTTTGGATTAAATTCACCTGTTAGTCTCAACTGGAGTAGAACTATTGAATCAATGGCATTTAAAAAGTGCTGACTTAGGAAGTCTGTATCGATTCAGTGGGTCTACTCTAGTTGGGCATCAAGGAGGCAATTTGCTTTTGAGAGGAAAAGTTGTGCCATACTCACTGTACTTATTTCAAAATGAAAAAAACCTTTCCTTTTTTCTGAGGCTGAGAGAGTTTGATTTGCTCAAGGCTACCCAGTGGATTTCCATGGCTGAGTGGGAATCTTAGCTTGATATGTTTATGCATTTTTAATCTGTAAAATTACATCCACTTAGACTACTTAAAGATGCTTAAACACATCAAGAATGGGATAGCTCAGAGCTCAGGTCTAAAAAAGGAAAAAGTAGACCATACCTGACACAACTTGAATGAAAAATAATTTCATTTTTGTTCATCTGGCTAAGAAGATATGGTCATATGGACAAAAGGTGACCTTTTATGTCTGGCAATATGGAAATGCATTACTGAAGTATAACCCTTTATACATAACTTTAATAGCCCAGTTGCTCAGCATTACATGTTGGCAATCTGTAGCAAAACAATTGTCTGAAAGCAAAAGGGAACCAACTCTCCATTTATATCTATATGAGAACACTGAGGTTAAGAGTAATTTTGGAGTGTTTATTGTCATCATAAAAATGACACAACATTTGCATCCTACCCAAAAGAACATCTGAGCCAGTATCTGAATGCTATAGGCATAGGTAAATACGTTTTGGTTGTGTTGGTTTTTTTGTAACAAGTGATAATGGCATTCCTTCTAAAAAGTAATGAAATAACTAGTAGCAAAGTAACATTTCTTCACTTTTTGTAATACATTATGGTTATAGGATTGCTGGGAAAATCTTGGCCACTTTGGCATTTTAAATGCTTTTTAAAAATACTGTTTTAAAACAACAAACTACTAGTGTGCTAAACAGTAATGAGAAATAGGACAATTGTTTTTGGAGTTGCATTGCAGTGAGTAATAGAGTCAGGATGGTAGGAACATTTAGGGAAGCATTTATTGCAGGTCTGTCACTTGGGCTATCATGGTATAGTGGTTTGAGTGTTAGACTAGGACTCTTGAAGACCAGGGTTCAGATCTGCACAGTGAGACAATAGCAAAACTCCTCTTAATAAATCATAGCAAGAAAACCCTATGTTAGGGTCACCATAAATCTGAGTTAACTTTAAGGCACATAACAAGAAAAGTAGTAGTGTAGTCAGTAACAAGAATTAATTCCCTTTAAATAAAACGTACTGAAAAGGTGCCTCAGGCTCCGGCTAAGACAGAAGTGGTGAGGGTCCAGGGTTGTTTAGATGGGGAATCTGTGTTGTTTTTGATGTGTTCAGATTCTGGTTTGGAGGATGAACTATTAAAGGAACCTTGGAGCTTTTTTAGAGTCAGCTGTAGAAAAGAGTGCTAAGTCCCTTCTTAACAATATGCAGGCATCTGACTAACATTCCCAATTGTTTTTCTCCTGTTTGGTTTGTAACAACATCTTGCCTGATGAAGAAGCCCATGGAGCTTTGAAAGCTTGCAGCAAGTATATTGTGGATTTTTGTTTGAATCCATTCTTAACAGTTATGCTCCTCTCAGATTATCTGTGCATAAGAGCAATCCTGTACTACAGCAAAAACAGTAAGGATTTTGTGGCACTGGAGAACTAGTAATTTTTATTTGGCACAGGGTTTTCTGGATTACAATACACTGCATCTGGTGAAGTGGGCTTCTGTCTATGAAAATATAAACCATATAGAAACTTTTTTTGTCTTTTAAGATGTTGCAAAGTTCTTTGATTTTATATAAATATGTCTATTCACTCATTCAGAGCAGAGAAGACTTGCTTTTTTGAACTACAATTCATAGCATTGTAGTCCCAGGATGGCTAGGGGATTCTAGGAGTTGTAATTAAAAAGTAACTTGGTTTTAAATATATTTAAATTCTTCTGCAAAGTATCCAAGAGTGCATCTACATTGTAAATATAATGCAGTTTGACACCACTTTAACTGCCATGGCTCCATTCTACAAAATATTGGGATTTGTAGTTTTTGAGTAACCAGCCCACTTTGGCAAAGAAGGGTAAAGAACTTATGAAACTACAAATCCCATGATTCCACATGATGACACTACTT